GGAATTGTTGGCTAGAGATCTTTTCCCTCACAGATTTCCCTGCAGAGATGGTCTGATTAAATCTGTGTAGAAAATAATTTGACCCTGCGTGAGATAGTGGTTGAGTGGTGGTCTAGAACACCAGGAGACCAGAGTTGAAATCCCTACTTGGCCATGGAAATCAGCTGGGTGGCCCTGAGCAAGTCATACCCTCTCAAATTTAGAGGACTGCAGTGGCAAACCCCCTCTGAACAAATCTTACATAGAAAACCCCATGATAAGGTTTGCCTTTTGTTCTGTGCCTTAAGCCGTTTTCAACTTACAATGACCTTAAGGCAAATCTATCATGGGTTTTTCTTGGCAAGATTTGTTCAGAGGAGGGTTGACATTGCCTTCCTCTGAGGACAAGCATTAGCCTTGTGGATTTTATGGCTGAGTGGAGAATCGAAATCTGATCTCTGGAGTCATAGCCTAATACTCAGACCTCTACGCGTAGGATTGCAAAAAGTCAGAAATTACTTGAAGGCATACAACAAAAGCAACAAAGTAAATAGATAAGAGACTGAGAAATCAGCTCTCATTTTTCTTCATTCTCTTTTTAATCTTCTCCTCTAGGGGCTCCTGTGAAATTCTTGCATGGATATGTATTTGTATGAATCCAATATAAATTGTTTCCCAACCAGTTGTGTAATAGCTCTTGTTGCTCTATTCCTACAACTTTGTTGCAGTGCTTTTGGTCACAGGGTATGTGAGGGATATACATCACTTGATTTTTCTGCATATTATAACATAATTTTTTCAGACTTGATGACTGATAACAACACCTGAATGTGTGAATTTAAAGATATTCACTTAACAAGACAACAGTCTCACAAACGTTCTGTTGGTGTGAGATCCGCAATGTTCAGTTTCAGGAATGTGCATGTCATTATTTCATGGTATAATAATGTGAGCCAGAAAAGAAGCAAAAAGAGAGAACCAGACAATATGTTTTATAATATTATATTATATACACAAATCTATACATAAATACACTATATTTAGAACCACACAGAGATCGGAAAACAGGAGTCAAATGCCAAACAAAAATAAGAAGCTGTTACATTATATGCATAAGAATATACCTGAATATACCTGAAATGAGCAACAGCCTCTGGCACTGAATTTGTTAAGATGCTGGAAGTTTGTAACATCAGTGGATCAAAAGTTGCTTGTAGATCTATATTCTTTCTTGTTGATTGTGTGAGCAATAAGGATAATACAACCATGCACCAGTCTGACCCATTTGTAGTGATCTCACATGCCCTCAAGAAGCCCATAAATTGCATCAAAATGTTTCTGTCCAGTGAGTTCTCTACTTTGTCCTGATGTTTATGGGATTGTTTGTTTTATCTTGTAAGCTGCCTCGGTTGTATTTTACAGAGAGGCAGGATATAAATAATCGATGATGATGATGATGATGATGATGATGATGATGATGATGATGATGATGCAAGGAAGCCTATCTTCTCTCAAGTAAAAGAAGCATGGAGATTCTATCCCCTTGGAAAAACTTTCAGAAGTGCTTTAAAATGCTCTCCTGCTTGGGAAAAGAAGGTCAATAATTTAGGGTAAAGAATGTTCTAACTAAGAGGACATAGGTTGGAGCAAAATTCTTCCTGATCCTGTCTCTCCCATCAGTGTCTAAGGGCTACTTCAGATATTACAATTACAAAGACTGGGCATCTTCCAAGCTGACTACATATAGAATTGTGTGACAGCTATGACACAACTGCTAATCATCACAGCCCAGCCCATGTGTTGCTGCGCTTATGTACATGCACTGCACTGGGAGAGACACATGACTCTTGGTCAAGCCTCTCCAGTTCATGCCAGACTACAAAAAAAGGAAACAACAGGCATGTGAGAGTGTGGGGAGGAGGAAGAGGAGTTGTTCTGACACCCTCCATCCTATGCTGAGTGATCTTCCATAAAACCAGAATTCTGGAACCAGAAGTCTGGAATTCTGAAATGTGTAGTTTTGTGAGATATGTAGCCTTCTCTGTCAGAGCATTCTGGTGCCACAACAAACTACAAAACCAAGAAATCTATAGCACTGAGCCATGGCAGTTAAAGTGATGCCAAACTGAATTATTTCTGCAGTGCAGATGCAACCTTGATAAGACATTGATATCATGTAAGACCTTTCTCTGATCTCTCATTGATGGTTTTGAGCTTGTCATTATTGACTATCTACTTTCTGCTTAGGATATGGGATATCTATGTATGTTTTAAGACCCTGGAAGAACCTAACCCAAAGACATGCCTAGTTCTTAGAATTACCAGCAAAGCTTTTGTTGTTGTTGTTGTTGTTGTTGTTATCCACCTTCAAATTGATCTTGACCCATGGCTACCCCATAGATGAGATATCGCCAAGACTCCCTGTCCTATACTGCTATGCTCAGGTCCTGTAAATCCATACCCACGAGCTCCTTAATAGAATCCATCCAGCTAGCATGCAGCCTTCCTTTCTTTCTACTTCCCTCCACCTTTCCCAGTATTATTGTTTTCTCCAATGAGTCATACCTTCTCATGATGTGGCAGCCTGGTCTAGTCATCTTGGCTTCCAGAGAGATTTCAGATTTGATCTGTTCTAGCACCCATTTGTTTGACGTCTTGGCTGTCCATGGCCTCAGCACTCCTCTTCAGCACCGCATTTCAAATTAATTGATTTTCTTCCTATCTGCTTTCTTAACTGTCCAGCTTTTGCATCCATACATGGGAACAGGGAACACAATGGCTTGCACAATTCTAACTTTCATGCTCTGTTGTATATCTTTGTTTTATTGCTTGTATTATGATTTAAATCTTCTTAGTTTAATACTTTTTCACGGGGTGGGTGGGTAAGGGGTTTGATGGTTTTATTGTATTGATGCTTTACTGTAAGCCGCCCCGATTGCGTTGCAGAGGGGCAGGATAAAAAT